AATCAGTTGTTAATCCTACTGAAAAATCACTTGCAAAGAAGTTTTGCTTCTTTTGCTGCTTTCAAGATTTTCTCTTGGTCTTTGTCTTTAGGTAGTTTGATAATGATGTGTCTACATATGAATGTTTTTGTGTTTGTCCTACCAGAAGTTCATTGAACTTCTTGGATGCACAGAGTAAGGTTTTTCATCAGAATTTGGAATTTTTCAGCCATTATCTCTTCAAGTATTTTCATTCTCTTCTTTTTCTCTTTTTCTCCTCTGCTTCTTTCATTATGTGTATGTTCATATTCTTAATGGTGTCCCACATTTCTAAGAGACTGCTCTTTTTTTCAGTATTTTTTTCTCTCTGTTCTTAAGATACCATAATCTCAGTTGTTTTGTCTTCAAGTTTACTGATTCTTTCTTCTGCTAGAAGAACAATCTACTGTTGTGCTTTCTAGTGAATGTTTTTATTTATTATAGTTTTCAACCCCAGAGTTTCCATTCTTTTTAAAAATTGAATTTGTCTCTCCTTATTGATAAGACATCATCATTTTATCTTCCTTCACTTCTGGAAGCATGAGTTCCTTCAGTTTTTGTAAATATTTATATTAGTTCCTTTGATGGTTTTGTCTGGACCCTCTCACAGGTAGTCTCTGTTGCTTGCCTTTTTCCTCCTTTGTATGGATTTCATGCTTTTTTTTTCTTGTCTCATAATTTTTTATGAAAACTAGATATTCAGATAATGTATTATAGCAACTCTGGATACTGACTTCTCTCCATTCTCAGGATTTGTTGTTGTTTGCTTGTAATTTGTTTAATGACGTTGCTGGAATGTTTTAGTGAAATCTATTTCCCCTGCAGTGTGAAGCCTCTGATGTCACCCTTTTCTTTTCTTTTCTTTCTTTCTTTATTTTTGAGACAGAGTCTCACTCTGTTGCCCAGGCTGGAGTGCAGTGGTGTGATCTCGGCTCACTGCAACTGCTGCCTCCCAGGTTCAACCGATTCTCCTGCCTCATCCTCCCAAGTAGCTTGGATTTCAGGCATGAGCCACCTTGCCTGGCTAATTTTTGCATTTTTAGTAGAGACAGGGTTTTACCATGTTGACCAGGCTGGTCACAAACTCCTGACCTCAGGTGATCTGCCTGCCTCAGCCTCCCAAAATGTTGATATGACAGGTGTGAGCCACTGTGCCCGGCCTGATGTCACTCTTCAGAGGATACAGCTTTGGCCATGTGCCCAGTCATCTTGGGGTGACAGTGGTTTTAGCAGGGCTAAGTTTGACTATCTCTTTCTCTGATTTCTCTGTTAAGATGTTGCCTCTATTGGTATCACACCAGATGTTACATTCTGCTAATTGCTACATGATTGCTCTATTGCTTTCAACAATTCTCTGAGGCATAAATTCTTCCACAGTCTGATCCAATTAAATTTGAATCCCTCTACACGATCGTTCTGAAACCAGCCTCTGAGGTTTGCCCTGACCCCTCTACCCCCAGGGGGGGCTCTTTTTAGCAGTCTTTTTCCTGATTCTTTCTGGTAGACTAGTTGACCTATGGCTTAGCTTATTGTTTTCATGGAGCCACCTGCCTTCTCTTAATTGCTGCCCATCAAAATCTCTCTTGTTTTTGAGAGTGCCTGCTATGGTTTGAATGTGTCTCCCAAAGTTCACGTATTAGAAACATAATCCCCAACACAACAGTGTTGAGAGATGAATTCTTTGGGAAGCAATTAGGTCATGAGGGCTCTGCCCTCATGAACGGATTAATGATGTTATTGCAAGAATGGTTCCTGATAAACAGATGAATTCATTCCCCTTGTGTGTGTGCACACATGTGCGTGTTCTCTTGCCCCTCCACCTTCTGTCATGCATGACACATCAAGAAGGACTTGCAAGATGTGGGCTCCTCAACTTTGGACTTTTCACGTTCCAGAACTGTAAGAAATAAACCTCTGTTCTTTATCAATTACTCAGTCTTAGGTATTCTGTTATAGCAGGACAAAATGGACCAAAACAGTGTCCTTAGGCTTAAACTTCACCACACAAATATGGTCAGAAAGTGTTTTTCTTTATTTGGTTGGTTGATTTTCAGAAATCTCTGGAGATCTCTGTTCTTATGACCTGCCTTTCTCCCTGGGCAAAATATCTGTGCCATTGCTCTGGACAGTAGCCTGCTTATTTCAGAGCAATAACCTGCTTTACAAGCAGAACACTGTGTAATAATGGTAAGAATGCTGTTCTTGTGATAGCCTCGAATCTTCTCAGTTTGTTTCTTCCAGCATGGAACCTCCCACCTACAAGCTAAGTGATATGATTTGTGTGTGTCCCCAGCCAAATCTCATCTCAAATTGTAATCCCCACCTGTGTCACCTGTTAAGGGAGGGGCCTAGTGGGAGGTGCTTGAATCACAGGGGTGGTTTCCCCCATGCTGTTTTTGTGATAGTGAGTGAGTTCTCACGAGAGCTGAGAGTTTTAAAGTATGGCACTTTCTTGCTCTCTCACTCTCTAAGTCTCCTGCCTCACCATAGCAAGATGTGCCTTGCTTCCCCTTTGCCTTCCAGCATGATTGTAAGTTTCCTGAGCCCTCCCCAACCATACTGAACTGTGAGTCAATTAAACCTCTTTTGTTTATAAGTTACCCAATCTCAGGTAGTATCTTTATAGCAGTGTGAAAATGGACTAATACACTAAGCTAGGGTGAGGGCAATCATGGCCCCACTACTCTCAGTCTGCCTCACCTGGGATAGAGCCTCAGTCTCACAAGTAGCAGATGGGTGGGAAAAGACAGGACTCTGCCTCTTGGACTCATTCTCCTGGAATTTAGCCTCAGCAACACAGAGGTATGGGGGAATGAAAAATGTTGATGACATGTCATTCCCAGGGAGATATACCATTGTCCCCTGTAAGCTTAGGGAGAGAAGAAAAACTCATCTTGGCCATATCTGTCCAGAGTAGATCTTCCATCACATTGCACTGGGAAGGGGAGGGGAAAGATAGGCAGTGGCTTAAGTTCTACACATTCTCACTGTTCCTACCTTTTGAGACACTTACCAAAATGTGTGGCCGGGTTGGGTGTAGTGGCTCATGCCTGTAATCCCAGCACTTTAGGAGGCCGAGGCGGGCGGATCACCTTAGGTCAGGAGTTCAAGACCAGCCTGACCAACATGGTGAAACCCTGTCTACTAAAATACAAAAATTAGCCAGGCATGATGGTGGGTGCTGTAATCCCAGCTACTCAGAAGGCTGAGATGGGAGAATCACTTGAACCTGGGAGACAGTGGTTGCAGTGAGCCAAAATGGCACCACTGAACTCCAGCCCGGGCGGCTAAGGGAGACTACATCTCAAAAAAAAAAAAAAAAAAGTGTGGCTGGGTGAGGTGACTCATGCCTTAATCTCAGCACTTTAGGAGGACAAGCCGATGGATCACTTGAGGTCAGATGTTCGAGACCACCCTGGCCAACATGGTCAAACCCCATCTCTACTAAAAATACAAAAAGTTTAGCCAGGCATGGTGGCACATGCCTATAGTTCCAGCCACTTTGGGGGCTGAGGTGGGAGACTTGCTTGAACCCAGGAGGTGGAGGTTGCAGTGAGCTGAGATCACACCACTGCACTCCAGCCTGGGTAAAAGCAAGACTCTGTCTCAAAAAAAAAAAAAAAAAAGTGCGTTCATATTTGGAATGAACCATGATATCTATACACCTTCCACCACTGGTGTGTTCAGGTACCATTCCTGCCACGTAACCAGTGTCTAGCCCAGTTACTGGCATAAGGTCAATGCACAGTATGTATTTATTGGATGTGTAAATAAATGGGTGCTGGGAAACCCAGCATAGTAGTTAAGGGCCACATCACAAAGGCTTTTGTATTCATTACAGCAGAAGTAAGATAAGATTTGCACTAAAAATGACAACTATTGTAGCAGTGGTACATGGGTGAGAGTAAGTCAAGTTAGAGGCAAAGGGAATGGTTAAGGAGAATATAAAAACATTTTCATGAAATGATGAGAGCCTTCACTGAGGAAGTCACTGTTGTGGAAATGTGGAAAATGCACAAATTTACATGGTATATGAAGTGTTCTATCAATGGAACTTAGTCACAGGTTATGGGCATACAGTGGAGAAATAGGTTTGAGGAAACAATATGAGGCCATACAACTATGAGAACAAGGAAAGGGTGATTTGCAAGAAAGATGGAGTGGTCCACCTTGGTTGAGTTATGATGTGTTCCCAACAGAGGATGAGACTCAGCCAGAAGGGAACACAGCGGGCTTGCAGGGAGGCCGATGCCAATAACTGATACGTTCAGTAGCAGTGGGGGTGAGGATTGAATGAAAGGTGAGGAAGTGTAGAAATATACCTAAATTTGTCAACAGATGATTAAATTGGAGAGGGAAGGGGAGGAGAGGGACCAGGCCTATTTGTTTTTTTACGTAAGATATGAGAGTTATGAAAAATAGTTTTCAGCCTGTTACAGAACTCTCCTAAGATGTGAGAGGCTTGAAAAAAATGTTTTAAGTGAGACACAGTACCAATGGAAAGTAAGAGATTGAAGACAAGTAGGAAAGAGTTGCAGAAACCGAATAGAAAAATGACATGTTGAGGCCTTCAGAGATTCCCTACACTTAACTATAAGCACAACTTTTGCTAAAACCCACCATTAACCAGAATAATATCTGAGTCTATTTCCACATAGCCTAATGAGGTTCTTTTTTTGATTTGAGATATGTAAATATACAAACTCTAGAAATGTACATTTCTGAGGTTTAAATACCTTAGGTAGTAACCTGGCATTTTGGAAAGTTCAATGTTCCTGGACTTCGATGGTTTGGATTCGACTCCTAGCTTTGATACTAACAACATTGTGTGAATCCTTTCTCTGGGTTTTAATGTCTACTTTTGTAACATGATAAATTAGGATTAAATAAAACTGAACAGCACTTCCACTTCCATCTCTAATTTTCTCATGATTCTAGATTTACTGCAGAAAATGTGGGCAGAGCAAGGACACATAACTCACCAATTGCAAAGGCCATCCACATGGAGGTAGCTAGAACAAGGATGGCATCTGAGCAGGTCCCCTTCATGGTGACAGAAGAACTGTGGAAATATGCAACTTTTTATGTAGGACAAACATCTATGCGAAGTACAAGTTCTCACAGAGATCCCTCACTGACCAGGAAATGAAGTCTAAATACTTTGTCCTTTCCTCAGGTCATTTGGAATGAATTGTGTCTGATGCAACTCAATTGTTTAATTTATTTCCCTAAAATCACTGGACATTTGGAAAAAAAAAGTTAAAAAAAGAATTTTAGAACATGCCAGAAAAAGAGTTAGTAAAGAATACTTGCAAGGGAAAGAATAAACACCTAGAGTTTTTCAATAAAATATTTAAAAGTAGCCGGGTGTGCCAGGCGTGGTGACTCATGCCTGTAATCCCAGACCTTTGGGAGGCTGAGGTGGGTAGATCACGAGGTCAGATCGAGACCATCCTGGCTAACACGGTGAAACCCTGTCTCTACTAAAAATACAAAAAGTTAGCTGGGTGTGGTGGTGGGTGACTGTAGTCCCAGCTACTCAGGAGGCTGAGGCAGAAGAATGGCGTGAACCCACAAGACAGAGTTTGCAGTGAGCTGAGATTGCACCACTGCACTCCAGCCTGGGTGACAGCGAGACTCCGTCTCAAAAAAAAAAAGTAGCTGGGCATGGTGGCTCATGCCTGAAATCCCAGCATTTTGGGAGGCCAAGGCAGGAGGATCGCTTGAGCCCAGGAGTTCGAGACCGGCCTGGGCAACATAGTAGGACCCTATCTCTGAAGGGCAGTCACTCAACAACATGTGTAAGTCAACAGACAGTAAGAAACAGGAAGGGACAAAACACCAAAACCTCACTCCTATACTTGTAATTTTCCCTAGTGTTGTTACTTTGGTGTAGCTTCTATTTTCTTCATCCTACACATTTTCCAGGCAAACATTTTTCATTCTATATCTAGGTAATTTCTACCCAAGACCTCCCCTGAGAAAAAAACAAGTAATAAATAATACAACCCTTTAAAGTTTGCAAATTTAGAAGTCCACTTTACCTGCTGTGACTCCCACGGTTGCTCTGAGAAACTGGCTGAACAGGATGGTTTTTGTTGATAGTTTGTTCATAATGAACAAGGAAGGGAGGCAAAGCTTATTTGTCTTTTCAAGGTTCCAATGCCTGGCAGTAGAAGAGAGTGAGCTTTGAAATTAGGAAGTATAGATATGATTCAAATCTATTTCTTTCAACTCTAAATTCTATAATGCCTAAATCTTGTGAGTTCATATTTCAAATTTCTGAGGGTGGTATGTACTGTCCAGTACTACGCCAAAATCTAGCTGTTCTTGCCAAAGCTGAACCCACCATTTTAGATAGATGTCATACACAATTTTTGAATTCCTGCATTATAATTATTACATTCAAGATGGCTTCAGATATTGACACAATACTATAAATTACCACATCTGCATGTGCAGTTATTTTATCAAGTCAAAAGTATTCACTTTATTGAAACATCTACTTTTGATTATTTCTGTATTGTCTCATAGAAGTTCTATTTATTTTTATTTCTTTAGAGACAAGGTCTTGCTCTGTTGCCCAGGCTGAAGTACAGTGGCATGATCACAGCTCACTGCAGCCTTGAACTCCTAGCCTCAAGTGACCGTCTTGCTTGGCCTCCCAAAGCATTGAGATTACAGGTGTGAGCCACTGATCTGGCCTGACTCACAGGGTTTTAAAGTAGAAAATTACCTTATATGGAATCCTCCAAGTTCATTCTTATTTAGCAGAGTTGAGAAATCTGGAGATAGAGTGCTCATTCCCTTAAATGATAGGCTGTTTGACCATTTGAATAAAAATTTCTCAAAACGCTAACATTTTTTAAAGTGGAAGTTCAGAAGCTATTGGGTATCATAAATTCCTTAGGTCTAAGTCCTAAATGAATGGCCTTAACTGGGGACATGCCACATAGTTCTGGGAGGTCAAGTGTATTTTCTCAGCACTGCTCTGATCAACCACAGTGTCTACCATGGTGGTCTTCAAAATTTTTGCTTTTAATCCCTCTAAATTTGGTGCCTGCTTTTACATATATATATATATATTTTTTTTTTAAGTGACATGTAAAATTTTTCATCAGAAATTTTAATAGACTGAGTACCATGGCTCAAGCTTGTAATCTCAGCACTTTGGGAGGCTGAGGCAGGCGGATCACTTGAGGCCAGGAGTTCGAGACCAGCTTGGCCAACATGGTGAGACCCTGTCTCTACTAAAAATGCAAAAAATAAAAAACTGGGCATGGTGGCATGTGCCTGTAATCCCAGCTACTCATGAGGCTGAGGCACGAGAATGGCTTGAACCTAAGAGGCGGAGGTTGCAGTAAGCTGAGATCGCATCACTGCACTCTAGCCTGGGTGACAGAGCAAAACTGTCTTTTTTGTTGTTGTTGTTGTGCAGTTGCAAGATTTAATAGAGTGGAAACAGAGCTCCCATACAAAGGGAGGGGACCCAAAGGGGGTTGCCACTCCCTGCTGGAATGCCTGGGTTTATATCCCGATCATTGTCCCTCCCCCTGTGTTCTCAGGTGATATATGATTAGACTATTTCTTTACCTCCTGCCTTTAGCCTAATTTATATTTTAGCGAGCCCTCTTTACTACCTGATTGGTCGGGCTTGAGCTGAGTTACAAGCCCTGTGTTTAAAGGTGGGTGCAGTCACCTTCCCCAGCTAGGCTTAGGAATTCTTTGCCAACCTAGCAATTCCAGCTAGTCCTGTCTCTCAGCTCCCCCTCTCAACAGGAAAACCCAAGTGCTGTTTGGGAGGTTGGCTGACAACTGCTCTAACTGCTTCCTGCTGAATTCGGGTGTAGCAGGGGTCGTGCAGTTGAGATTTCCTCTGGAGGGGTGGCTTCTATGTCATCAACATCACAGCATAGGCTAGCAGGCTGGTCCAGGGGTACGCAGTAGGTCTTAGTCATGGACTGCATCTGGGGCTCTATTTGAAGAACCATTTGTAGTTTTTTTGTGTTTTTTTTTTTTTGAGACGGAGTCTCGCTCTGTCACCCGGGCTGGAGTGCAGTGGCCGGATCTCAGCTTACTGCAAGCTCCGCCTCCTGGGTTTACGCCATTCTCCTGCCTCAGCCTCCCGAGGAGCCGCTGGGACTACAGGCCTCCACCACCACGGCCGCCTACTTTTTTTTTTTTTTTTGTATTTTTAGTAGAGACGGGGTTTCACCGTGTTAGCCAGGATGGTCTTGATCTCCTGACCTCATGATCTGCCCGTCTCAGCCTCCCAAAGTGCTGGGATTACAGGCTTGAGCCACCGTGCCCGGCCCATTTGTAGTTTTACAGCTTTGGTTCTGGAAGAGACAAACTTAACAAGGAGGTTAAAGATACAGGGATTGAAATGTATGGCCTGAAGTGCAGGGGCATATGAGTGTGAGGATGAAAGTGGGGTTTCCTTTAGAAAAACTCCTATACGATGAGGCCTCAATATTTCTGGGAAGCCGCATTCTCCACAGAAGCTCTTGGTAAGGGGAGCTACTAGTATTACAGCGGCATGGAGGGTATTACCCTATACTAGGAGTCCTTCTATAAGCATTTCTAGTGGAAGGTCCTGCCTTGTGGCTCTTTTGGCTTCAATATCTGCTTGGCAGTTCCCTTCTATTTCCCTTTCCTTTCCTTTCTGATGACCCCAGCAGTGTAAGACTGCCACCTCTTTAGATTTCTGTACAGCCAATAATAATCTCCTAATGGCTTCCTGATGTTTGATAGGTGTTCCCTCGGAAGTTGGGAATTCCCTTTCTCTCCATATTGCTGCGTGGGCATGGAGGACTAGGTAAGCGTACTTAGAGTCTGTATTTACCCTTTTTCCTTCTCCTAATTCTAGTGTATAATGGCCCCTGCTTTTGCTGGAATGTCTCTCCCTAACAAGGAAGTGGGGCTTTCAGGCATAATTAGAAAGGCATGTGAAAAGAGTAAAGTTCCCTAGTCACCACTTAGTGGCTGGGAGAAGTGTCTAGTGACTGCCTGTCCTAGGACCCCTCGGATAGTGACAGATCTGGAGGACAGTTATCCGGGACAGGAGAGTAAGACTGAGAAGGCCGTGCCAGTGTCCAGGAGACAGTTAACCTCCTGGCCCTCAATGGTCAAGCATACCTGGGGCTCTGTGAGGGTGATGGCATGGGCTGGCGCTTACCCTGGGCACCCTCAGTCCTGCTCTTGGATCATCTGGTTAGTGGCTTCTGACTCAGAGGACCTTCGTCTCCTGGGGCAGTGGGCCTTCCAGTGATTCCCTTGACATAAGGGGCATGGATGAGGGGGCGGCTTATTTCTATTTGGACAATCTTTTTAAAGTGTCGTTGTAGACCACACTGGAAGCAAGCCCTATTAGGCATTCGATTTGCCCAGTCTTTCCCTTTTCCAGAGCCTCCAAAGTCCGCTTGCCTGAGGGCCAAGAATAAAGCGGTGGCCTTCTTTTTATCCCGTTTGTCCCATTCTGTCTGCTCCTCCTGATCTCTATTTTAAAAAAAACCTAAGTTGCCAAGTTCATTAGGGTTCTAAGTTTTGCTCCAGGCCTAAGGTGGACTTTTGAAGTTTTTTTCTAACGTCTGTAGCTGACTGAGTGATAAACTTATCCTTTAAGATTAGTTGACCTTCAATAGAGTCAGGTGACAGGGAGGTATGCTTCCTCAATGCCTCCCTTAGTCTCTCCAGAAAGGCAGTAGAATTTTCTTCCTTTCCCTGTGTTATAGTGGACATCATTGAATAATTTATAGGTTCTTCCTAGTTTTTCTAGCGCGCAAGTTAGTTAATGTCTGCGGCACCAATCTCCACGTTCTGATTCTGCATCCTAATGAGGGTCTACACTGGGAACTGCCTGCTGCCCCTTGGGAAATTGTTCTTTTTCCTCTGTTGTCATCCTATAACTGACCTGACTGAGATACCAGAGGTCGCCAAACTCTCAGGCTGCAGTTATGGTGGCACTTCTCTCATATGGGGTTAGTGTCTGTTTTAGCAGTAACATTATATCTCTCCATGTCAGATCAAAGGATTATCCTAACCCTTGTAAAACATCAATATAGCCATCAGGGTTATCTGAGAATTTACTTAGGTCTATTTTAATTTGCTTCAAGTCCAAGAGGGAAAAAGGTACATGCACTCTGGCTGGGCCAAATTCTCCTCCTCGCACCACTTGGAGGGGGCATAATCGGGGAATACTGGCACTCTTTGGTTCATTGTTTACCCCTTTCTCTATCTCCTTTTGGACTGTTTGGGTTGGAGGGGGGTCCTTATTAGTTGGAGAAGGAGCTGGGGGAACGCTGGGGCAGGGAGGTAGACTCTGAGGGCTTCCCGTAGGGCATAAATTACACTTTTAACATAATCGCAAGTTGTCTCTTAATGAAAAGAAAGTTTGCACATATGGCACTTCATTCCATTTGCCCTGTTTTCTACAAAAGAGGTCTAGCTGTAAGATGATGTTATAGGCCGGGCGCGGGGGCTCACGCCTGTAATCTCAGAACTTTGGGAGGCCGAGGTGGGCGGATCGTGAGGTCAGGAGATCGAGACCATCTTGGCTAACACGGTGAAACCCCATCTCTACTAAAAATACAAAAAATTAGCCGGGCGTGGTGGCGGGCTCCTGTAGTCCCAGCTACTCGGGAGGCTGAGGCAGGAGAATGGCGAACCCGGGAGGCGGAACGTGCAGTGAGCCGAGATCGCGCCACTGCACTCCAGCCTGGGTGACAGAGCAAGACTCTGACTCAAAAAAAAAAAAAAAAATATGGTGTTATAATTTATACTTCCCTTGGAGGGCAGGTTTCTCCCTCTTGAAGAGGATATTGTGGCCAGGGGTACTGCAGAAGAATATAAGTCGTTTCTTTCTTAGTGTCTGAGGGTTAAATTGGTCCTAATTCTCCAGAATACATCTTATGGGCGTTTTTGCCTGGCGGGGAATGTTTAAAAAGAACATAGGGATGCCAGCACCCCTGGTCATTTTCCGATGAGCATTAGTCCTAGAGCATCGTCTATGATCCTAATGCTTATTCCTTTCCAGGGTGCGTAACCACCCATGGACCTCTGCTTACTGGATTAGTTACACTCACCAATGTAGCAGTCCTGCACCTGTTTTCCTGCCTTTCTGGACCACAAAGAAAGGGGTCCGGGCTGCTGGATTTTAGTGGTCCTTTACCAAGCTGTCCAACATTTCGTTTGCACTCAGGGGTGAGTTCTAGAGCTCGGCTGCGTTTCTGAGTATCTCATAACAACCCAGTCGCCCCATCAAGATGCATTTTTTTGTTGTTGTTGTTGAGATGGAGTCTTGCTCTGTTGCCTAGGCTGGGGTGCAGTAGCGCGATCTTGGCTCACTGCAAGCTCTGCCTCCTGGGTTCACACCATTCTCCTGCCTCAGCCTCCCGAGTAGCTGGAACTACAGGCGCCCGCCACCATGGCTAGCTAATTTTTTGTATTTTTAGTAGAGACGGAGTTTCACCATGTTAGCCGGGATGGTCTTGATCTCCTGACCTCGTGATCCACCCGCCTCGGCCTCCCAAAGTGTTGGGATTACAGTGTGAACCACTGCGCCTTGCCAAGATGCATTTTCATAAACAACAGTTCTTACGCAAATTTGTTTCAGAGAGGGTGTAGGTAACATTTTGAGTCAGGATTGAGATAGAGTTTTTGCCCACTAGGGCCTTTGTCTTTCTTTTCCTTTGTAGGAATATGCCTTAATTATCGATCTTAAGCTTTTTGTTGCCCCGGATTAAGTCCTTTTGGGTATGAAACATGAGAGATGGATCCTGTTTATCCTATGTGCCTTTTTCCTACGAGAAAGAGAGCGAGGAAGAAAAGATGGGCTTGCTGGTTTTGTAAGTACTTTAAGGCTTGGCTGAGTGCGAACAGCTCGCATGTTTGAGCAGAGCAATTATTAGGTAATTCTAACTCTGCTTCCACAAGAGTCTCCTTATCAATTACTGAATACCCACTGTGGTTTTTTCCTCAATCACCTGGGAGGAAACATCGATCGTCCTGTCCTGAAGGGAGTTCCTCCTAGGTCTGGTTGGACATTTATATGGGGATTAAGATTTAAATCCCCTGTTAGGAAATCTGCTGGGTTAAGGGAATTATCAGTGGTTAGTGTTAAATCACCTTTTTCTAACAGTGTAGCCCTATACTTCAAGATTTTTGGGTTAATAAGCTACTTTTTTTTTTTTTTTAAACTTAGGATTGTTCTGAACTGGTGAGGTGTGTTCACAATGAGGTTTCCTCTAAAGGTTATTTTTCTACTTTCTTCTGTTAGCAAAGCAATTGCTGCTACAGATTGAATGCATTTGGGCCATCCGCAGGTTACTCGGTTAAGGATTTTTGATAGGAAGGCTACGGGTTGTTAGTGGTCTCAGAGTTTTTGGGCTCCACCCTTGTTTACACTGACAACAAAGTAGTATTGGAGTGCTATAGGGTCATGGAGAAGATCTTTAATTATCAATTATAGGTTTAAATTTACCTTGGCTTTTAAATGAATAGGGTACACTGTTTTTTCTTTACTACCTCTCTCTTTCCCGTTTTTCTTTCTCTCTCTCTTTGACTTTCTGTCTCTTCCTCTCTCTTTCTTTCTTTTTTTAGGTGGATTTTGGAAACACAGCAGAAGGATGTTTGCTCGTTGCCCCCATTTGCTACTGTAGGAACATGTGCCTCCCTTTAATTTACTCAATTCGTTTTCATCCTGATCTATTTTGTTGTTGTAGACCCAGTTCCAGTTGTTAAAATACTGGGTTATCAGTTCTAAGGTCCTGGCCAAGGAGCCAAGGCTTGGAGATTGTATTGCAGCGAGGATTAAGCTGGGTAGAAACTAGGGGAGGAGAGCGTCTTACACAATGGGAGAGCAATCCTCCTAGCCATTTACAAACTTGAGGCCCTGGCAAGGGTGGTGGGGAACGGGTCCCACATAACTGCCCATGTCAATAGCTGTATGCCTAAATTGGGAGGGACACCAAGGGCAAGACTCCCTGGGTTCATAGCCTAGGTACCTAAGGCCGCAGCATAGAGCTTCCTTAGATCCCTTTGGAGATACAACTTGCTCTAATACTTGGGAGAGGAAATGAAAGTCTGAAGCATTAGTACCTAGGAGGCAGGGATTGAAGGAAGTAGATTCAGAGGTAAGGAGAATTTTGGAGGCTACACTTTCAAGAAAGTCATGGTCAGGACCCAGGAGGTATGGGTCAGAAGGAGAGGTAGGGGCACACACATGGGCGACTGTTGAGTAGAGACTTCTGGCTGCACCATGATCTTGACCGGCCAATGCCGGGAGTTCAGGGTGACAGCTTTCTGCCTCTAGTCGGCCCTTGGTATCCCCCAGGAAATTGTGAAAGCAGAAGCTGGTTCCAGGCAGACCAATGCTCCCAACCCAGAAGGGTTGGGGGTTGTCAGAAAGCCTTTTCCCTGAAAGCCTCACAGTTGAGTCTTAAGTCCGGTGGCTATGCTAATCGTTTTTAAATGGCTGACAGATGCCGGGTATTTCCTCTGATTCTAAGGAAGGATGGGACAGGATAGCAAGCAAAAGTGGTCCAATATTACTTACCACTTTGGAGAATCCCCATACAGGCCACCAGATGTTACCAGGCAGGTCTTTGTTCTTAGAGCTCCCAAGATGGTGGCTGGCCACTCCCAAGATGGCGACAAGCCTTTTGTTCTCTGACCTGGGGTTCTTGGCCTCATGGATTCCAAGGAATGGAACCTTGGGCTATGTGGTGAGTGTTATAGCTCTACTAGAAGCCATGGGTCACAGAAGAGAACCCTGGAACCCAGCAACTAGTGTTCAGTTCGATTAGGATGAACCCAGGCACTTAGCTGCGCAGGAACAATGGCAAGCCTCTAGCCTGACTGGGAGCGGCAATGGGCGCCTTGCTGGATCAGAAGCATAGCGGACACCCTGCCCAATCTGGAGGGGTGGAAGTCAATGGCGGGTCTACGATGGTGGCTTTCAGCAGTGGTGGACAGTGAGTGAAAGCTCAGTTCGAGCTGGAACAAACACAGGCCAGAAGAGTGTGCAGTTGCAAGATTTAATAGAGTGAAAACAGAGCTCCTATACAAAGGGAGGGGACCCAAAGCCTGTAAAACTGTCTTTAAAAAAAAAAAGTTTAAATAGTTATAAATAACTCAATTACTGGCCTAGTTTAAATATTACTATTTTTTAAAAAAATCATTATTTTAGATATATCCCATGGAATTTACATTCTATGGCAATTTGATTTCACATTGTATATCTGAAAACCACATAGATGAACTCAGTTAGAAATTTACGTCATTTCTTTTTCTCCTTGAATGAATGTTTCATTCTGCTTTTTCCACATAACTTTTATTTCAATGTTATGCTTGATGGTGCATTACTGATCATGCTTTTCTACTTTTCATCAGCAGAAATATGCAAATAAATGGATTTTTCAAATTTCCTGGGATGATAGGATATAAAGTTTTAATCTGTTTCTCTTAAACTGAGTTATTATCACAGTTAGTAGTACATGTTGATCAAAACATAGGTATACTATGAAATTCGATAGTTATTTAATATAGAGATACATTTCTTTTTTTTTGAGACAGAGTCTCACTCTGTCCCCAAGGCTGGAGTGCAGTGGTGCAATCTTGGCTTATTGCAACCTCCGCCTCCCGGATTCAAGTGATTCTCCTGCCTCAGCCTCCTGAGTGACTGGATTACAGGCGCATGCCACCGTGCCCAGCTAATTTTTGTATTTTTAGTAGAGACAGGGTTTCACCATGTTGACCAGGTTGGTCTCGAACTCCCGACCTCGTGATCCACCTGCCTTAGCCTCCCAAAGTGCTGGAATTACAGGCATGAGCAACTGTACCCAGCCTAATTATACATTTCTTAATGTGATGGATTAATTTGGTTTGGATCTGTGTTCCCACCAAATCTCATGTCACATTGTAATCCCCAGTGTTGGAGGTGGGGCCTGGTGGGAGGTGATTAGATCATGGTGGTGGTTTCTCATAGTTTAACACCATCTCCCTTGATGCTGTTCTCCTGATAGCAAGTTCTTGCAATAACTGGTTGTTTAAAGGTGTGTTGCACCTCCCCATTCTCTCTCTTCCTCCTGCTCTGGCCATGTAAGATGCCTCCTTCCTGCTTTGCCTTCTGCCATGATTGTAAGTTTCCTGAGGCCTCCCCAAACGTAGAAGTCTATACAGCCTGTGGAACCATGAGCCAATTAAACCTCTTCTCTTTACAAATTACCTAGTTTCACGTATTTCTTTCTTTCTTTCTTTTTTTTTTTTGAGACGGGAGTCTGCTTCTGTCACCTAGGCATGGGAGTGCAGTGGCTGGAGTCTCAGTCACTGCAAGCTCCGGTCTCCCAGGTTTACGTCATTCTCTGCCTGCTCCTTGTCTCCGAGTAAGCTTGGGACTACAGGCGCCTGCCAACTCTCGCCCGGGCTAGTTTTTTGTATTTTTTAGTAGAGCACAGGGTTTTCACCGTGTTAGGCAGATAGGCTCGATCTCCTGATCTTTGTGATCTTCGCCCGTGCTGGCCTCCCAAGTGCTGGGATTACAGGCTTGAGCCACCGCGTTCGCGCCCTTCTGTCCTTCTTCTTCTTCCTTCTTTTTTTCCTTTCTTCCTTCCTCCCTCCCCTCCTCCCTTCCTTTCTTTCTTCCTTACTTTCTTTCTTTCTATTTTCTTGAGACGGAGTCTCACCGTGTCACCCAAGCTGGAGTGTAGTGGCGTAATCTTGGCTCAGTGCAACTGCTACCTCCTGGGTTCAAGTGATTCTCGTGCCTCGGCCTCCCAAGTAGCTGCGATTACAGGCATGCGCCACAACACCCAGCAAATTTTTGTATTTTTAGTAGAGACAGCATTTCACCATGTTGGCCAAGCTGGTCTTGAACTCCTGACCTCAAGGGATCCACCCACTTGGCCTCCCAAAAGCTGGGATTACAGGCGTGAGTCATCGTGCCCGGCCGCACATATTTCTTTAAAGCAGTGCCAGAACAGACTAATACATGGTTGATGCTTGCTAATGCCTTTCAGTTAGTTTAAATATCTACCCTTGAATATTACTTGTTGCTAGAATGACTCAGGATTCAACATCAGTTCTACATTTATTCTTTGTTTTCCAGACACTGAAAAATCATGTTTACAATAAGTAAGTAGATGGGAATTGAAAGAGTTTTATATAGCAGTGTCACTTAAGTCTTGGAAGTTCTTCCAAATTTTATACCAGAAATAACATTGTGATAGGCGAGTGAGGTCAGCAAAATGGCTTACACTAGAGTTGCCTGGCTCTTGTTCCTCCCCTACTTCCTGCCCCAAAAAAGGAAGCAAAACAATAAATAACCAACTATATTTTGTCTAGAGTGGCTGAGAAGTGCAAGGGAGAGCACGAGGAGAAGAGCAAAACTCTCGCAGAGCACAGGAGCCCAGGATAGTGCCATAGGGTGAGGAGTGAGGCATCTGCCTCTGCACACTGTCTCCCCTGCCAGGATTGGATGGGATCCAGGGAGGACTTCTTCCAGGAAAAAGGTAAGCTGAAGACCCTTGGCTGTCCCCAACACCACCACAGATGCCAGAAGTCATTGCTACAGGAGCATCCCCCAACTACCCCTGTCCTCACGGAGCAGAGTTCAATGTGAACAGTTGCCAGGAGTCTGCCTGGCTACATTATCCCAAAGCAGGAACCCCCTTGACATCCTCAATCCTCATGACCTTAACGGCTAGCATGGGGCCATCTTGAAACAGGACCCATATCTGCAGTGAGGCCTACCTGGGGACCAGTAGCCGCAAAACCCCTCCATCCCTGAGGTCCTGCCATAATTCCACTAAATTCACATGGGTACCTACAACACCAAAGCCCTGGATGCCTGGAGTGTAGGTCCAAAGGAATGACTGGGATCCTGAGCCCAAACCCACAAGGCACCCTATCACCCAGGGACACTGGCTGACCTACACTGCAGGGAGGCCCCTGTAGCCATTGGGCCCCAAGCACCCACTCCAGGATTGACAGCTGGTCTGGAGGTGGCCCTGAACCACCAGAGAGCGTCTGTCACAGGCACTCACCTAGTCTTCTTGCCCATGGCAGATAGCCAGCCCACTTCCTCAACCACAACAGTTGAAATATCCAGACAGAAAGTCAACAAAGAAACACTGGGCTGAAACTACACCATAGACCAAATGGACCTAACAGACATTTATAGAATATTCCATTCAACAACTGCAGAATACATGTTCCTAACCACACATGGACCATTCTCCAGGACAGATCATCACATGAGGAAGTAAGAAGTGTTCTCTGCTGAGTTAACCTCTTCAGTGAAACTCTCCCTGACTTAATACATATTTTATTCCATTATTTGATTCCCTTGTCTTGCTTTATACATCTCCATTTCATGATCTCCATCAAAAATGTTATCTGGAATGCATTCATTCATCGAGTGATTATTTCCACCTTTAGATGAATGGTAAGCTCTGGAAAGGAGTAAACTCTGTTGTTACTGGGCATCTTCTCTTGAGGTTTGAAATTAGGACACCAAAAGTTTGGTGACCTATAGGTGAACTGTGGCAATGGTAGAGGATTCATGCCCTAATTCTTACCCTTCTGAAACATGTTCAAATTTGTGTGCATCCTTACCCAACTCAGCACATATTTTACTTGTGCTTTGTTGAATGCTTGTGGATTCCTCAAAACCAGGTAAGGTCCTTTTAAGAAAAGTTCTTAGCACAGTTTCCCTTTTATCTGGATATCCAATGAAACAGGCAAGCAGGTAGAAGCCCAGAAAGACAATGCTTGCCTCAGTTTACAGGCAATTTAGTCAGTGCTGCCTGACTGGTTTTCCAAATGAATGATATAGTCAAGAGCTTACTTAGCTTATTAAATTACAAATAATAATAATAATTATAATAACAAAGGCAGTATATAGAGAGTTGAAGAAAACATTTATTCAGTGCCTACTCTGGAATGGGCACGGTATCGTAAATGTTTATATGTATCATATATATTTAAATATTTTTTAAGCCAGGCACAGTGGCTCGTGCTTGTAATCCCAGGACTTTGGGAGGCCAAGACAGGAAGATCACTTGAGGCCAGGAGTTCAAGACCAGCCTCGGCAACATAATAATACCCCTGTCTCTACAAAAAAATTAAAAAATTAGCCAGGTGTGGTGGCGTGTGCTTGTAGTCCCAGCTACTCAGGGAGGCTGAGGTTGGAGGATTGCTTGAGCCCACAAGTTTGAGGCTGCAGTGAGCTGAGCTCACACCACTGCACTCCAGCCTGGGTGTCAGAGAATGACCTTGTCTCAAAAAAATATATATATATATTCATGTTAAATTTTATTAAAATATATGTATGTATACAAAATATATGCATGCAAAGTACATATATTTTGTATGCAGACATATATTTTAATAATATTTAACATGATGCATGAAATTATTACTAAAATTTAATATTTTAAACAATCACTTTAAATTCCCCAAGTACTAATCACTGAGAATCGAGAATGTCAGACCCTGAAGGTTGCTGAAATCTAATCCAAACCAGTCATTTGACACATAAAAACAAAGTGAGGCTCTACTGATGGGGCACTGGAAAGAAAATATTAAGA